GAAGTCAATTGCGAACGGTCTTGTCCAGGGATTTTCGGAGCCAGAGATGCAAAACTTTTGCAAGGTGATCCGGGGGTGTCCAGTCCCCTGAGCATGGGTGTCTTAAGTTTCTCAGGTCAAAGTCTCTGGCCAGACTGATCAAAAATGGCGTCTTCGTCTTCCTGCGGGTTATCCGCAGTGTCAAGTTCTTGGGAGTCTTCCAGCAAGGTGTTTTGTAGGAGTCCGGGTTGAGATTAGGAGTCTGAACCCCAGGCGTCTTCGTGCGAGTCTGACTCATCTGCTTGCCATTCATCCAAAATGAGTAACACTATGCTGACCCCAGCAGGGTGCAGTTTATATACGCAAAATATAAAATAACCCCAGCAGGGTGAGTGATATCGGATACCCCAGCTGGGTATCTGTTGTGGTGTAAATAATTTCAATGGACCCCAGCAGGGTCTGTATAAATTTACAGTAAAGTGTAGTAACCCCAGCAGGGTATTTACAGCCTGTATCAGGCACTAGTAGTGTCAAAATTGCCGCAACAGGGCAATAACCACAATATTGGGATTTTTAGGTATTACTGAGCTTCACCCAGGATCACAGAGGTGAAGAAGCAGCACGGTATATAGGGGCAGCACCCCAGGCAGGCACAGGGTAATAATCCCTTTGGTGCCTACAAAATGAGACCAAAAAACAGACTGACCTCTAATAGTTGTAATAGAACGTTTGCTCTAAGCTCCATCTTCTGAGATTTCCAAGATGGCGGCCGCAAGCTCGCGAGATGCGAGATTGCGAATGGCCACCGCATGTGAATAAGGCACGAATGGGAGCCGGAGATATGAGGTAAAAGCCATCTGAGACGGTGGTGAAAAGATCGGGATTGTGAAGTTAAAGTGTCCGACGGTAAAATAAACAGTCGGGTGATACCAGGTCCACCCGCGGATGGGAAGTAAGTGGAGTCCGAATTAGCAAACTCAAATAGTTCAGTTAGCATGAAATAAAGGAAAAACAGAAAGAATAGGTAAATACTTATAGTTAAAGTAAGCCCTAGTCGGATAAATATACTCACATGTAGAAATATACTAACATGAATGCCAGAAGAAAAACAAAGATAGAGCCAAAAATTAGGTACACTAAAGAAATGGGGTGTAACCCCAAGTAGGAAATATTAGAAAGAAGGGTGGTGTACCTACACAGTCTGAAATTGGAGTCAAAGATGCATGACTGATCACTGCCACACATAGTACTGGATTAATAAAATGCCTCAATCAGAAGGCAAACTTTATGACAAAGATAATGTGTGGTGAATGTGCCTGTGTACAAACGATTAACAAATAATGGGTATTAGAAGTCTATACCCTGTTAAAAAATACCTAGTGGTATAAAAAAAATAGGGGGATTTATAGTGTCAGGAGTTTTTAGCATAGATATTTTACTATGCAGCTGTCATTACCCTCATAAGGTTTTCGTATTTAGTTCATCTGTAAGACCAGCACTATTAGAAACTCTTAGAACTTTGCATTTAGTGATCCTAACTATAAGACCCACTAATACTTATCCCCCTTCCGTATTAATCTATAGACCGACCAGTTTCACCAAGTATAACTCTGGTCTGGCGTTCCCCAACAGTAATTTGAGCTGTAGTAAGAGATATATTGCTTCCAATGGTGGAGCACGTTGTGTGCTGAATCTAATGAACATTAAGAAGAACACTAAGAGATATATAAACTTAGTGACTAATAGATCATTTAGCAAGTTTTACATCCAGCAGCTCATTTTCTTATCTATGTATTGTACTGTTAGGACTCCACATTTGCCAATCTACCTGTGCAGTCCTTATCAGTCCTGTTTTTTTGGCAACAAATTGCTAGTTAGCGGTTGTTGAATACAAATATAGAATATACCACTATTTTTTATACCACTAGGTATTTTTTAACAGGGTATAGACTTCTTATACCCATTATTTGTTAATCGTTTGTACACAGGCACATTCACCACACATTATCTTTGTCATAAGGTTTTTGTTGAATACGATTTATTTATTTTTTGCCTTCTGATTGAGGCATTTTATTAATCCAGTACTATGTCCAGCAGTGATCAGTCCGTTATTTCTGAGATTTAACAATAAGTCATGCATCTGGAGAAGCCTGGTTGCTCGCCTGTTGCCTTTGGATTATGGCCCCATGTTAAAAGCCTTGATTTTACCCTGCAAAGACAAGAAAGCCGGGTCATTTAGTGCTTGCCCTGTTTGAGCAGTGATACCCCAGATAGCTATGCCATGGAGCCCATTCGTATAATGAAAGACTATGGGAAAGACGTTGGCTCCATGGCAATTGAACTGTATGTGTTTGTGGTCTGAGCGCCATTCAGTATTAATGTGCGCTCAGACCTAAGCTATCTGGGCATATGTTGCATGTCTGTATTTTATGTCATAAATGTAACCTTGTGTATTTTATTGTATTTTACTGTCTTTTTGCTGCCATGTGTTCAATGGAGTTTTGCCTCTGTCTTTGGAGATAATTGGATTACTTCTAATTATCTCCAGGATAGAAGACTCTGTGGAACTGGTTTTGGGCAGAAAAGCCATGCTTCCTGTGGTCACAAAGGACTATGATCTATCTTTTGAACCACTGGACCAATTTGTATGATTTTGACGTATGTTTGTATTTGGAATATGCTGATTCTGAAAATGTAAGTGTTATGTGAATGTGATGCATACTTTTCAAGTTATGAATAATGTGGAAAAATTGTATTTCTCTGCTTGTGCTAAATTGCATTACCCATTGTGTAAGGTAATTGAATCACATGCAGAGGGGAGGAATTTGTGTGGGAGTGTCTGAGTGTATTGTATGTGTTTATTGGTTGTGTTCCAAAACCCTGTGGGTGGTACTAATGTGTAAGAATGTGTACATAAGCACAATAAACCCACAGCTCTGTCTGTTCACTGCTTGACCCTCAACAGAGAGCTTTGTCTCGTTTTTGGGGGGATTTATTGTATGCTGTTCCAGTTTGACTGCTAGGAGTGTGAACCTATTCCTATGGTTTTTCCTATTCTGCTGTTTACAGCATTCATATGGTTTCCTGTTCGGCGGTTTGGTGTTCTGCAGTAGCTGTGCCTGCATCTCTGGAAGGGGAAGATCTTCTAAAAGGCGGTTTAACCCTTTTATGCATAGGGGTGCCGTTACACTTTGTTTTTAAATAGGGCGTAGAGGCCCTAGCTAGTCTACTCATTATAGAGTTCCAGGAGGTTAAACTGTCTTACTTGATAAAATCTAAACACTTCCCTGTTAGATATACCTTTAAGAGTTTGTAGTTCTTGGAATGTAAGCAATATGTCCTTTTAGAAGTGCACCTTGATCAAAGTGACCCTTTGTTTGCTAGTGGACTATATCAAGATGAGAGAGAATAGTTGCAGTGTCTACACTGGGTCCATCTACTGTTGGAATCAAAATTATTCAACCTCTATGAACTTTCATTGCTTTCACTATCTTTTTGTATCCTGTTTCTGGTTTCTGAAGGGCGACGATCTCTTCTCTTAACTTTGTGGACTATTCTTTTGTCTTAGTCATATTTATAACATGTAGTCAATTGTGATACCCAACAAACCCTTATCCAGTTCAGGTTTTTCAAGTGTTCCAGCTCAAGCACAGCTGGTGCAACTCATGAAGCCCTTGAATAGTTTTATCAGGTATTACTGAGACAACACATGTGTTGCATATTTGTGCTGTTGTGAGGGATTCTATTCAGAAGGTTAAATAATTGTGAGACTGCAGAAGTCATTATAAGTTGCATTTTCAGTTACATTTGGGGAAATTGCTTGAAGCATTTGTTGTTTTGAGCTACTGCAATTGATTTTGTTTGATTTGTTTATTAATATAGCTGAAAGTCTCAAAATTTTGACAATAAGCCTGACTTTCAATGGGGGTTAAATCATTTTGATTACAACTGCAGATATATGTTGTAAGTAGTTAACTTTTTAAGGCAGACACCTCCATGGGAAGCCACTGAAACCATCATCTGTGCCCTCCTTTGGGATAGGGTCCCTAATTAGAGAATGCTGGATATCCTAAATGGGTATACCAGAGTATCCTTTATGTCAACCCTAGTCAATGTTCCTCTTGGAACCTGAAACATCAATGTCTAAGCCAAATGAAATGCCTGGTAATAGGCATATACATGTGGAAAGCCCAGCCCTTCTTTCTTGGTATTGGGTGGCAATTACAACCCATGCTGGGGCATATGCATGCACAAATCGGTTATCACTCAATTTATTGCAATTTTTTTTATTTATTTTTTTAAAGGGAAGAGAAAAGGTGCAGAAAAGGTGGCTTGAGGAATGTTATAATCTTAATAGCAGCACACCTACCAAGCCACAACATCTCAAATGTAAGCTATTTGAGAAAATCCTCCTTAATCAAATCCCATGTATACCATAGGTTTGCTGCAAGGATCATTGATTGGTTGCTATATATATATATATTCTAACACCCAAATATTGTATAACTTCAGTGTGTCAATCATTACTGAAATTGTGTTTAAGCTATGTAAGTTATTCCACTGGTATATCAATACTTAATACCTGTGATTTATATTGGCTAACCTTATGGTAAGAGACCTTACTAAAGGTGGCCAAAGCTTCATGTAGAACTGTGAGCTAGATATGTGGCTCAATAAGAAACGACAACATGCCCTTTGCAAAAAGTCCAATACTTTGCTGTTCTGATTTTGCAACTTGCGAACAAATAAGATGATCCTCAGAACACAGCAATGTCATCTTAGGATGATTTATTGTGCCATCAAATGTGAAAAGACAATGTTTTGATACTAAATGTGCCTTTGTTAAGCCTTTTCATGTTTGGTGGCACAATAAACCAGTATAAAACGACATTGCTATGTGCTGAGAATTATTTCATTTGTTTGCAAGTAAGGGGGTTCATCGGAACACGAACCTTATCATGCGCATAAGCACCAATATTCTTGATTGCCATTAGTAATGTTGAATGTAAACCACAGTGCTCCAGAAGCCAAGACGGCAGCCAAGGGATTTGAATAGATTGACTCAATGGCATAAACTATTGTCTCAGGGAACAAATAAGTTTTAATAGCCTGTTGCAGAAAGAAATAGGAGTAGGCATCTCACCAATCCCATCATTTCTTAGTCCCGCAGTTTAATAATTATGTTTATTTTTCATTTTGTAATTATGTTCAGTTTTCATTGTGTTGCATAATTTTCAAACTCTTTGTTTGCTGTATCTCATACTCTCTTAATGATTAAACACTTGTGAATAATGCTGTATACACTATTCAAGAATGATATCCATACTAGGTCCATCTCTTGGTGATTAAAAATTGCTGTTTGCTTGCTGGTAACCACTGGAGTCTTTGAGGGGCCTACCTTTTTAGTTTCTACCTCAGCCATAGGCAGTAAGCGAGCTGACCCCACATTTGCAGGCCAGGTGGTCCATCTGCATAAAAATTGCTACCCACCTAAATCACTTCATCCAAAATTTACCGGTTAAGATGTCCAGGGAATTTAAGGGAGAGGAATTAAGCTGGATGGTGGAGTCAGATGTAAATAGTAGGCTTAAGGCTATGCCTGGCCACGTTGTCCAGAGTGAAGACAGCTGGAGAAACTCTTCCAACATTAATTAGGCCAAGCTCTTTTTTTTTTTCTAAAAATTGCACCAAGTCCCAACTTTCCCGTAGCAAAGTTGCCCAGAGACAGGCCGGGTTGTCCGGACCAAACCTCTTCCCCCTGTTCCTTCTGTTAGCCTTGGCTGTATTCTTAAAAAGTGTTAACTTTTTACCCTTCTGTGAACAAGCTATGGAGTAAGAAAAATAGTCTCTTCTCACTGCCTGCTGCTGTGCTTGATGGCATCCTCAGTGTTCCATTATCACAGGAGAGAGAAAAAAAGCTCTCCCTCACTGCCAGTTTCTGGGCTTGATGAAAATCTTAGTGTTCCATCAGTCTCTATTAGGTCACTGAAAAAACATTTTGACAAACATGTCATCAGTTAACAGAAAGCTGAGGTCCTTTGCAGTTCACCCGAGACTCTTACAGAGCAAGGAAGCTGGAAGGCAGAGCTCAAAACCAGAGAGGGGGTACAGCATCCCAGCTAAAGATTTATCCAATCCTGAAGTGAGAAGAAGGGAAGGAGGATGTTAAATGTATAGTCCGCATAGAAAAAGTAGTAAAGAACAAAAGAAAAAGTGCATTTTTGGGGCCACATAGCAATTTTTTAATATGTAAGATTACTGCTTTAGTGAAAAGAAATAACATTTTCATCGTCCATGTGGCCTTTTTTAGTTTAGACAAAGTTCCCATGTTATTATAGGGAAAACTATTTTGGGTGAACATGCTTCAAAATGTGCCTTTTAATGTACTGCAAAAAAACAAACAACAACAAAAAAAATCCCTTTCATTATACTCTCCTGACCCCAACCCCCATGGATTGTCCATTACATGACAAATTGCTGATTGCCCAAATTTTAGAAGAATTGTGATTCATTTGAAACTGAATACACAGGTCTAAAGGTAATGTTGCTTGGACTTTAACGGGATTCACTGTTTCAGGACCCCTGTCAGTCCCTCCAGTGATGCTCCTTTCTGGTGGGGGATATTTATCAAAGCAAAAGCAGGTGATATACTAAAGCAAATTGCTAAATAAGAACATTTAGCTCTTTGCACTCAATACAGCACTTATCAAATCTATCCCTGACATTTATGATTGCATGTGACATCAAATCAATGAGGTAAAAGTTTAACTTTGTTAGTTTTTATAAGATAGCTACACCTATAATACTCCTATAATATACATAAATAATCCTATAATGGTAAATTTGTGCAAGCCATTACAAGTTTTTGCCCAACTAACAGAGTTATTAAGCGCGTTTTTGGAGCAACGTATGTTTTATATGTTACCACATAAAATCAGAATATAGTTAATCAAACAGCCTTTTCCATAAACTAAAATATATAATGCATGTAAATTGCACCATTAAAAACACAATTTTGCTAACAAGATCAACTCAGGTTTTCTACTTATCTCTCCAAACTTACCGTTTAGAGGGAAACAATTCAGTTCTACATGAACATGACCATGCACTTGCAACGTACATGAATGAATAATTTATTTGGCATATTATAATTTGCCTAATTGCATTCAACATTTACATAATTTGTAAGGAACACACAGCTGGAATTATACCAGGTCCAGCAAAACTACTACTATTTATGCATTTAATTATTTTGAGAACACGTTTTCATGTAGAGTTATTCTTATTGCAACTGAAAGAATAAAGCCCTCTAGTAATGCAGGTTCTCGAATGCCTGCAAAACCCACGTCTATGAACAATACTAAGACGAAGATGGACAAAAGAGGTTTAAAAATAAAAATTAAAAGGCATTGTGCTATTGTTTGGTTGAACGTGTTGTTCTTAATATGACCTTGAAAGTAGAAAGGAAACTTTTCAAAAGAAGAAAAAATGAGTCATGCTAAATCTACAGGGTCTGTCTGCAGGCCTCTCTCTGTGTGTATTCTACAGGATTTTTTATTTAAACTAAAATGGTTTACTTATTAGTTCAGTCTAATTTAACTTTTGAGCAATACATAAAAACACTGCCAATTATTGCTTTATCAGGGCACACGTTTCCTGAAATCAGTTCAGCATAACAGAGTATGTCAGAAACCACAGATACTTTCAGAAACTAAATTACGAGGGTAAAAACTTTACATATGTGACAATGCACAGCAGTAAATGAAAGATCCAATCTTTTACATAATTTTAATATATTCTGAGCTATTTCCATGATTCTGTTTTGAGATCGCAGTAACATATGTTATGCAGATCAACTCATACTATAAGCACCCAATATTGTTTTTTTAAGACATACTATATGCTTTTCATACACACTTTGAGTTTTTGTTTTTTTAAATGCTGGTACCAGGGTCCACAAAGCCACTGATCTATGCTAATGTTTCCTGACTGCATAGGTGCACTTACAAACAGGGCTGGGGCAAGGATTTCTGCTGTCCTAGGCAAAGATCCATTTTGCCACCCCCACATGTCACTAACTCACTGACAGAAACACGCACTCACTGACAGGTACACAGCCACACTGACACACAATCACACACACATACTCCCTCACTGACAGACACACACACATGCACACACACAGGCACTTACTGACAGACATGCACTCACTCACAGACAGACATACACTCACTGACAAACATACACTCACTGACAAACATACACTCACTGACAGACACATACAAACACTTACTGACATACACACACTCACTGACAGGTACACAGCCACACGAACACACAATCACACACACATACTCCCTCACTGACAGACACACACACATGCACACACACAGACACTTACTGACAGACATACACTCATTGACAAACACTCACTGACAAACATACACTCACTCAGTGACAAACAGACACATACAAACACTCACTGACAGACACACACTGACACACAATCACACACATATACTCACTCACTGACAGACACACACACACACAGACACTTACTGATAGACATGCACTCACTCACAGACAGACATACACTCACTGACAAACTCACTCACTGACAGACACTCACTCACTGACAGACAGACACATACAAACACTTACTGACATACAAACACTTACTGACATACACACAGACACACTGACACAATCACACACATATACTCACTCACTGACAGACACACACACATGCACACACACAGACACTGACAGACATACACTCACTGACATACACACACACACACTCACTGACATACATGCTCACTGACAAACACACACAGGCAGACACTTACTGACACTCACCTCCCTGGGGTCCAGTGTGGGGCAGCTCCTCACTCCTCCAGCGCGCCATTTAGTATGCCGGGGCCGGCATGACGTCATATTCTGGCTCCCGGCATTACAGAGGGCGCGCGAGGGAGGAGTGAGAACAGCCTCCCTCGCCACCTTCCTGCTCTGTGTCACTCTCCTCCTGGTCACCGGCATTTTTTGGCAGAGCAGGCACCTGCCATCAAGGTAAGTAGGTGCCTGCTCTGCCTTACCGAGCAGAGCTTCGGGGCAATCTGAGGGATCCCCTATGACAGGGATCCTCTCGGCGCCCCCACCTTCGGGCGCTTTGAGTATTGGCCCTGCACTGGGGGCTGCTCAAAAGCCGCTCTCCCAGCGCTGCGGTCCCAGACAGGGGTAGCCAACCAGGAAACATCCCGGTGGGCGCCCCCAGGAGGCCGGCGTCCTAGGCGAATGCTTACACATTTCTGGAGTCTTCACATATTGAAAGGGGGAGAAAAATAATGTAAAGTGACCTATTTCATTAGTCTTCATTTGTCAGCTTAAGCACTTGGTATGGAGATATACCTTGAGATGTTCTTGAATATTCTTGTCTCTAGTATTTTCAGAGGAGGTGGGACATGCAAGAACAACCCAATAATATTCCCCTGGTTACCAAACACACAACAGCCATTAACCCAATATCTCTGCCATTTGCCTGTTGTCACTCCTAATTTGGGACTATTTTTACTTATGTTTCTCTGTTATGTGACATTCTATTATGTGCATGTGTTTGCTGTCATTCATATGTCTTTGTTTGTGATTTACATTACTCAGTATTCTAGTCCTTCTACCCTACATCTCCCTGTTGTCTTGTTTTCGGCTACATATATCTTTATATTAGTATGTGTGTCTCCAGTATAATTCTCTGTTGCTGATTATGTTCTTTCCATTTGTCTTCTTTCACACTGCTCAATGTATATCATCACAGTCATATTCTCTGTTGCTAACATCTGTCTCTTGTCCCATTGTATTATTTACATTTCTCTGCTGTCCAAGTATCTGTTATAGCGTTCTTGTTGATGTCCTACACTGTTACTAATAGCCCTTTGTCACTTTCTGCATTTGACAGCTTGTTGCTATGTACCCCATTACAGCTCTCCGCTCACTTGTTTTCTAAATGTAATAGCTGACCATTTTCACATGATATCATATGCTCCCAGTTCTTTACTTTATTTCCACATATATAATTTTAGAGCAAGTAGCAAAATGGGTCAGTAAACAAAAACAACTAGGATAAGCAGCAATTAACTTTTCTCTGGAAATTCACGGTTTTATTTTCCTCTATGTTTCCATTTGCCCTACCTTTTTGCTTTTACATTTCTTTTCAAATATTTTGTATTGAAAAGTTTTTATATGTTATGGGGAAATAAGGCAAAAGGGGAGTTAGAAAAAGAAAAAGGGAAAAAAACCTGGGTAAATAAAAAAATGTCAGGAGATGAGAGATGAGAGAGAATCACAAGGCATATAAAATAAGAATTTATAAGTATGTAAAGGTAGCACCCCTTCCTGTCCCAACTGAGAAATTCAGCTGATACCGGCAAGGTGATTTGAATGTTTTATAGCCCTCTTTAGGGTTAATAAGTATTTAGGGGTTTATAAAACACCCCTTCATGTCTCATTAGAGATGTTTACCAGCAAAGTTTATTGTATGTGTAGAAGCCCTGAAAGGGTTTATAAAATACCCCTTCCGGTCTCATTGGAGATTCTTGGCTGATAGCAGCAAATCTAATGAGTGTAGGACTAACCTTTTGAGGCTTGCCTTGACGTGGCAGGTGAGCTTATATATTCAAATGGCCATTGGAATAAAACTAAAGAGCCTCCATTTTGTGTAAATGTACATGGGGATTAAGGCCAGAGCTTGTTACTGCAATTTCTGAACAAAAGCTGTTTCACACCAATTCTATCCAGGCCTCACCAATGGTAAAAAAAAATATATATACCATGTGGAAATAAAGAAATAGTCACATTCCAGCAGATACATCCATGGAGTGCCCTACCTGTTCGCCCACAGATGCCGTTTACGGTCAATGCGCTGGTAGTATGCGCTCTCATAGTACTTTCTCTTGTGACAGCGGTTCCTAAAATGAAGAAAGAAGAAATGGATGCTGTTGGCTGACCGACATGAAGCAATAAATCCATCATAAAATTAAGAACTACACATCTATAAAATCGTTTCATACTCCGTTAATCTAAGCTTGCATTGCTTCTACATATGTGCAATTACATGGGTAGTCTGTGCAACCTGTAGCATTTCTTTTTCGATGCACATTAGGTGAAAAGGAAACAGAATTGCACTTTATCAAACTCTGATAGGATGCATAGTAGGGCGCATTCCACTAGTTACAATTGTAGTAATAATTTAGATCCACACTAGACATCTTTCCCTTGCTTAGTTTTAACTGGAAAGTTTTAACTCTGAACTATGTTCTACTAACTTTCAGGTTGATGAGACCAGTGGTGGACAATTGTTTGCAAAGTCTTTCCCTTTGGCCCGATTCCTGATCTGGTTGCTAAGTATATTGACCTAACTATTGCTGCTTCTTTTTAATGATCTGTATTATGACTTCGACTAGTCCAGGGGTTATTAAAACTAGCCCAGTCAATCTCAGGCACTCCAGAAGTTGTGGACTACATCTACCCTGATATTTTGACAGCATTATGGGAGATGTAGTCTACACTATCTCGAGTGCCAAAGGTTGCCTATCCCTGGACTAGTCTTACTGTTGCTTACTGGTACCTTTATAATCACTGCTCTATTTTATTACTGATGTGTGCAACTGATAAGGATCAAACCAAGTGTTTGATAATTTTGTGTATCTGCCCCTGTCCAAGTTAATAAGTATATGCGTGCACGCTTCCAGAAGTAATTTCACACAAGACACAAGTTTCCAGATTATGAAATACTCAGGAATGCTTTATTCTGGGGGCCGGTGTGCCTTTATAAAGCAGAAATACATCATATGCATAATTATAGATAACAGAGAAGAAAACATTAATAATTGGTTAGGTGTTAAGTGATGCATTCAATGTACATCCCACTGGGTGTGATATTACGGTTATCATGAATTTCTTCCCCACATTCCAGCGCCATCTTCGATAGTGTATGGGAGGGGGGGGCGAGCAGGTAGCAGGAGCAGTTACTGAACACAGGAATGTGCACAGAGTAAATAGACATTTTACTAATTCTAATATTTTGTCCACAACACAATGAAGTCATTTATATTTGCACTTTTTTTTCATGTTAAGGGGATTTAACAGATCAACATATTTTATTCTCCTTGTGCATTGTTTTATTTGCAGTGCACAAACTTGTTCACTATAAACATAACATTAAAAGACAACTCATCAAATGTCCACTTTTTATTTAACAGCTGATTACATTTATTGAATCTTAATGATTATTTTTAAATAATGTACATTGATTTTTTTTATTTGTGTGTGATTATTTTAGTTTTATCTGGCTCTGCTGTGTCAGACTCTACTATTACCTAATCAGCTACTGCTCATCCTAACTTGAGTGCTCCTGTACTTTCATACAGAGCTATCACAGCAGCAGTCATGTTACGTTGAGCAGCAATTGATGAAATAACTGTAAAGTCAGACTCTGCATGGTTGCTCAGCCAGATAAAATGTGATATTTTACCAAACAAAAACATACATCTTTAAAAAAGATCAATAAGCTGTATTTGAAGTAATAAGCTTTTCTAAAGTGAGAAGTGAAAATTTGATGAGAGATGTCCTTAACAATACAAGCTCAGACAAATATAGTTAAAAAAAACAAAAACCTAAAGAGTATTTTGAAGTTTGTGCACAAAACTGCAAATAACAATCCTAATATTTTAGGTATATGGAATGACACAGAACTTGATATATTTTTTTTTTTCTTAAATCACATCCTGTGACGGATAACAAAAGGCTAGAGAAAGTCTCAAGTTTAACCTGCAAATAGCAACCATGCACTCTTAATCCTTAAAAGCCTATAGGAGAGACCCCTGGAAGACCTACTGTAGTCTGATGGGATCCAGATACAAATGGCTAATTCACATGTAGTTCCCCCCAAAAAGAATACAGAAAGTTATTTTAACACATTTGTTGTATATTATGTGTCATAATTTGCCAGATATATGGCAACCAAGGTCAGCCTCCCAAATGTTTAAGTGTCGTGTAGGCAATGGGGTTGTTTCTCATGTTCAACATACGTCATTAAGAATGGTCCTTCTTATAAAATCTCAATCAAACCAGTGATTGGCTCTTCTGTTTCAAGGTGCTTTCTTTTTTCCAATCCCCGTCTCTTGCTTCCCTTGTTAGTGTTTTGGTTTCTTAGCTTCTTGATCATTGCTTTTCTTACTGAAATGTAATTGCTGATTGCTCCTGACCATTGTATTTACGTTGCCTTTAATTCTATTCCTGTTTTTGACAGCTGGGAATGTCCTTCCTTATTCTAATAAAGTCTTTGTGCCTCAACAAACTTCCTAGAAAGGTTCCTTCAGGGCTCTGTTCTGGGACTGCTTTTATTTAACATTTATAAATGATCTTCAAATAGGCATTGAAAGTCAGCTGTCCATATTGGCAGATGACACAAAACTAGGTATAGTTATACAATATGAACAGGACAACACTATGCTGCTTAGGAATTTAGATAGAATAGGGGATTTGACACTCAAATGCAGATGTAATTTAATGTAGATAAATGCAAAGTTATGCACTTTGGGGTAAAGAATGCACAAGCAACTTACTCCCTAAATGGTAGTAAATTAGGGATAACCACACATGAGAAGGATTTGGGAATTGTTATAGACAACAAAAAAGGCATCAATTTGCAATGTAAATGGGCAGTTGCTAAGGCCAGTAAGGTATTGTCATGTATAAATAGGGGCATTAATCCTCGGGATGAAAAAATTATTTTGCTTTTTTATAAATCAATGGTGTGGTGATAGTAACCTCACCACAGGCTCCTGGAGGGGTCTGATGGCCAGCCTCTTGCCAAAAGAGGCCTTTTAAAAACATATGTGATTTATGTACTGTTGTACTCCAGAAAGAGACCAAAACTATGACTTCCATGGAAATCCAGAACCCCTGAACCGATCTGGGGGATTTTTGGATATAAATACAAAAAAACAAGTCCTGCGCTCACTCCCTTCACTCCTTTCACACAGCAGCAATGACCACAGTACATATCAGCCCCAATACATACAGTAAAAACCAAAGAAAA